TGTGTGTGTGTGTGTGTGTGTGTGTGTGTGTGTGTGTGTGTGTGTGTGTGTGTGTGTGTGGGTTTTTCCTACAACGTGGGGTATTTTTTACAAAAAAAAAAGCAGCCAGGCGGGGACCGAAGTGAATCGTGGGGACCTGACTTTGGTCCCCACAGGTCCAAATGCATGTTACAGGTGTAGGGTTAGGTATAGGACCAAGGTTTGGGTTAGTTTTAGGGTCAGGCAAGTTTCTGTGAGGTTAATTTTAGAATATATGGTCAGGGTTAGGCTATAAAGTCTAAAAAACATGAATGGAAGTCAATGGAAGGTCCCCACGGGGTCGAGAAACAAACGTGTGTGTGTGTGTCTCTGTGTGTGTGTACACTGACTTTGTGTAAACAGTGATGCTGGAGGTTGAGGCATGTCATCAATCACTCTGTAGAGAGGCTCAAAGTGGTGGAAGAGTGAGGCTGTTGTTTCGTTCATGGGCATGGTGTCAATAACCTGCAGAGACAGAACCACCACGTTGAACTGAGCAGAACCCACTGTCATCAGAACTTTGACCGTCTGGTATTCACCCTCAGGATCAGTAAATAAATGAACATGTAGAAAAGATTATTCAGAGGGGTTTGAGCAGCAGAAACAGCTGAATCTGCTGTTGGGCAGTAAGAGATACCTGAACCTGCAAACATTTAACACAGCGCTACACAAACAGTACTGATGGATCCATATATTATCAGATCATAGAGTGATAGTGTCACGTACAGGTACAGGAAACACCGAGGCTCTGGAGAACAGGGGATAAGAAGCGGACTGGGCTGCCTGCCTTTCTGACCTGATCAAATGTGTCGAGCAGGTCCATCCATCTTTATGTTTCCTGACACTAATATGAGGTTAGGTTACAGAGACAGGAGTTTCAGGACCCCCGAGCTGTTCCTGGAGGACCCCTAGGTATTCCCACACAATGAGTTCTGGGCCAGCCCTTGGGTGTCCTACCAGCTGGTCCTAATCAGATCCACCTCAGCTAACTCCTCTCGATGAGGAGCAGCAGCTGCTCTACTCCCTCTAAGGCTGAACCCAGACACCGACACCAGCCTGTTTCAGCTGCATGTGTCACGGTGCCAAAAGACTTGAAATTATTCCTGATCAGTATTGAAGGATCATATGTATTATAGAACAGAATCATCTGCCTATTTCAGATTATTCATACTTAAAAATGCAACTTCATGAACTCAAAAACGTACCTCTTGTGCAACTTTCTTCATTTCTTCCACGTATGCAGCCATGGCACTGTCAGAACTCATCTGTCCAAGACGGTTCCATGCATCCCTGAGACACACACCAGTTTTTTTTTTAAAGACTTGACATTTATTTTTGTTGTCTTAAAACAGTAGAAGTAATGTGAACAGACCCCTGCACCCCTGGCTTATTCATTTATCAGATCAGTGTTTATTTCCTGTGCAGGAGCTGGTGTCTCACATCACTGACTTAACTTTAGCCCCACATTTACATCAGAACGGGTTACAACCATAGTTGAAAGGGTACTCCTAGTGTAAAGTAGAAATTATTCATTAGTAGTTATATTTAGTAATAATATAACAGTAGTAATATAACAAATAGTAATTATTCCAAGTTCAAATCTATTTAAATTCCAGATGAGATGTGTGCACACATATACTGACCATTTGTAGCGACCCACTGGGTCCCAAAAGCCTGGTCGAGACACGGTGCACGGTCCACACACTGCCTGTTTGTACAGACTGTAGAAGCGCAGCATCACCTGGTAGGATGGCCGGTAGGAACCTGCAGAGTGGTACAACACCACAACTGAGTGGTTCTGTCAGTTATTAAGTACTACAGAGAACAAAGAGGCAGTACAGCAGCAATACACTGACCAACACCAACCCTGTCAAGGAATCAGGTGAACTTCTGACTGACTAAACTTATAAAGCACCATCAGTACAGTCTATCCTCTGTAAACATTACACTGCATTCAAATCAATTCAGGTCAGTTCAGTTCAAAAATACTTTATTGATCCCAGACGGAAATTAGGTAACATATATTCATTGCTCAATTAGTAAAACAGATGCAAACTAAAGAAACATGTAGACGGTTAGAGATTTAAAATCAGGTAAAGAGGCTTTATTTCACACTGATTTGTTGATTTTGACAAAGATATTTTATAATCTTAAAAATGATCCAAATCAGGCCTTTACTTGCCGAGCCATTAGCCTGGTCTGGACATCTCTGAGGTCTGATGTCACAGCTGATGTGCTGCTAACTACCGATACCTATTAGATAGAACATCACAGAACACCACTGTTTCTTAATGAAACGTGTTGTGTTGTGTTGCGTTGCGTTGTGTTGTACAACTACATGCCAGGCGGTCGTTTCATCCCTACTGTTACACAGGACTGAAGGATGTGTATGCCCAGCAGAGCTCCAGAAGAAGATGGATAAAAATCAGAACAGAAACTGTGTGTGAGCGGATTTCACTGCAAACAAACACAAGTTGTTAAACCTGTGATTTCACTGCAGTTTAATATAATCTACCTGAAGGACAGAGGAAACAGGATAGATATCTTCCTTTAACACTACTAACAGGTGCAAATTTCTAATTTATCTAATTTCCCTCTGGGATCAATAAAATCATCATCAAAAATAAGAAGAGATTGATTCTGTCACTGAGACTTGCTGCTGATGAATTGGAAAATACTGGAAGTGATGGAACACCTGCACGAATAGGATATTAAATGTATTTTTTTTAAATTAACCTTTTTCTTTCTTCTTTTATTCTGAAAGTCTAAACCCAATTTTAACTTTTGCTCTTGATTTATTCTTGATTGATTTATCCTTGATGCTGCTGACTCAGGACTTCGGTCAATCCTCATCCTCCTTGATCTGAGCTCTGCCTTTGACACCATCTCTCATCCTATCATCATCGATCGACTAACCTCTATCGGCATCTCAGACACCCCCCTGGACTGGTTTAAATCCTATCTTTCTGACCGCACTCAGTTCATACAGCTCAAGTCCTTCTGCTCCCAGTCTTCACCCATCTCCACCAATATTCCCCAAGGTTCTGTACTCGGGCCTCTACTTTTCATAACCTATCTGCTCCCGCTTGGCCACATCTTCCGTAAATTTGGTATCCATTTCCACTCTTATGCCGACGACACTCAACTCTACATTTAAACAAAACCAAACTCCACCTTCTCATCCTCCACTCTCCGACTGCCTCAGTGAGCTCAATAACTGGTTCTCTAACAATTTCCTCCAACTAAACCATAACACAACTGAACTCCTCCTTGTTGGGACAAAAAAAAAACACCATTTCCAAATCCCAGCATCTTCTCTTCACTCTTAACAACTCCGTTCTCTCCCCCTCGCCTCAGGTCAAGAACCTACACTCTCTTTCACATCCCACATTAACAATGTGACTCGAATATGCATACTTTCATCTCTGCAACATTAACCGTCTCTGTCCTTCACTCACTCCCTGCTCCACTGCCATCCTTGTACACAGCCTAGTAACATCCAGGATCGACTACTGCAACTCCCTACTGTTTGGCCTCCCCAATAAATCCCTTCACAAACTACAGATGGTTCAGAACTCAGCTGCCTGTGTAATCACCCAAACCTCATCCTCTGCACACATCACTCCAGTCCTACAACAGCTCCACTGGCTCCCAGTTAAACCCCACATCATCTTTAAAATTCTCCTACACACCTTCAAAGCTATCCAAAACCTTTCCCCTCCTTACCTGTCTGACCTCCTGAACATCTCCACACTCTCCCGCTCTCTAAGATCTGCCTCCTACCTCCAACTCTCAGTACCCCTGCCCGCCTCAGCACCATGGGGAGCAGAGCTTTCAGCCGCTCTGCTCCGCAGCTCTGGAACTCACTACCCCATGGATTACAGAATACCACCTTAAGACACGTCTTTTCAGAATTAGCCTACAACTGTTGACTCCAAGCTTTAATATACGTCTGTTTTTGTTGTCCTCACTTCGACGTTTCTCCTCCAGAATGTTGTTCAATTTGTCTGCATTAGTGTATTTTATTATGACTGTTCTGTACTCCACATTTCTGTTTCTCCTACTCTACCCTTATCACTATATGTATCTACAGTTTTATTTCATTTTACTTTTTTTTCTATTGTACAGTGTCGTTGGGTGTCCTGAAAGGTGCTTTATAAATAAAATGCATTTTTTTACTATTATTATTACTATTATTATTATTATTATTATTGATTTAAGGTTGCAGTTTCAAATCCCGGCCCGGGGACCTTTCTGGGTAGAGTTTGCATGTTCTCTCCGTGCATGTGTGGGTTTTCTCCAGGCACTCCAGCTTCCTCCCTGTTAGGTTAAGTGATAACTCTAAATTGTCCCTAGGTGTGAGTGAGACAGTGAATGGTTGTTTGTCTCTATGTGTCTCTGTAATGGACTGGAGACCTGTCCAGGGTGTACCCCACCCCTCACACTGAGACTGCTGGATATGGAAACCAGTGACCCTGAAAGGAAGAAGCGTGTACAGACAATGGATGGATGGATGGATGGATGGATGATGAACAGATGGATGGATGGATGATGAACAGATGGATGGATGGATGATGAACGGATGGATGATGAACGGATGGATGGATGGATGTTTTCAAATATCCACAATGTATCTAATATAATAATGTATATTGTATGTGTTAATTTAATGTGTATTTGTTTTTATTTCTTGTGCCTTAGATGAGGGCTCAGAAACTCTTAAAGGAAGTGGATGTTTGTTGTTTTTGTCTGTAAATAATAAAGAGTTAAAAGTGAGCCCATGTTGGCTCTTCTACCTGTTGTTTTTAACTCAGCTGGTGGCCACACTGTGACATGTTGTCTCATTTACAGCACTGCTCATCTGGAGCTGGGGTCTCACTTATAAAGGATTGTGTGGAAACCATACTAAAAGTGAACGTACGGCCAAAAGGCGGAAATGGCGTAGCAAAAAAAAATTCAGATTTATAAAACCGTGCATATGCATGTTTCTGCACCTTTCATTTATAAATCACAGCTGTACGTCAGAGTTTGCGCACGAGGTCCCTCCTCAGGTTCTACCCTCTACACGCCCACACTCAACCATAAACAGTCAATGTAAAGTACCTCATGAATGTTAAGATGTATTTAAATCAGTCAACTGATCAGTGATTGGTTCAGACACGCTCCACCATGAGTCTGGAGGATGACAGATGCTGACTGACAGCTGCTCACCTGAACAGAATGTCTGTAACTGACACAGATTTTCCCTCATTTTGCTTTAGAGTAATCTAA